CTCTCATTCTCTCTTGTCTGATGCCATGTAAGAAGTTCCTTTCATCTTCCACCATGATTCTGAGGCCTCCCCAACCACATCAAGCTGTGAGTCCATTAAACCTCTTTTTTTTTTTTATAAATTGCCCAGTCTCAGGTATGTCTTTATCAGCAGCATGAAAATGGACTAATATACCCTGCTTTTCTCCCTTCCTTCCCTCTATGACCAGCTTTTTAAAAGCATTTTTTAAATCCTTCATTCAATTCCATTTCTCTCTTGCCTCCACTTTGAGTCTCAAAAATATAAAAAACCGGAATGGAAAGAGCAGAAATAGTGAATGACAGTTTCTTCTTTAAGAAAAACCTGAAACCAAAATAAGACAGATGAATCCAGACAAAGGCGTTTTATTTTTTGCCTTTAAAAAAATACTTATTTTAGAGATTTAGGAGGTACAAATGAAGTTTTCTTACAAGGACATATAGTGTAGTGGTAAAGTCTGGCCTTTTAGTAGACCCATCTCCCAAGTAGTGAACACTGTACCTAATGGGCAATTTTTCAGCCCTCACTCCCTCCCACTCTGTCACCTTTTGGAGTCTCCAGGGTCCACTATTCCACCTTGTATGTGCCCATCATTTAGTTCCCACTTATAAGTGTAGTATTTGACTTTCTGTTTCTGGTGATTTCATTTAGGCAACAGTCCCCAGTTCTTCAGAAAAAGACATTTTAAAAGTGAAAGCACACTGCTCTGAGGATAATGACATGGGCCTATCACCAGACTTCCAGGTCACAGGTAGCCTGGTTTTATCTACTTTCTCCTTCCCATAATTTCCCTTCCTCCTGCTCTATTGCTCCCCCAGCACTGGCCTTCCATCCCTTCTTCCTAAATCAGGGCTTTGGTGGATGTTCTTCCCACCACCAGAACACCAGAGCAAACCCCACCTTATATGCTCTCACAGTACCAGGAATCTTTCCTTCATCATACAAATTATAGCTGTAATTTTATACTTAGTTTGCAATTGCTATAGAGTCTTCCTACCTCTTTAACCTATATGTTGTCATAGGACAAGTCAGTCTATTTAAACTTATTGGTAATAAGTTTACTTCTTATTAGCAGGTGATCAACAAATATTGTGAATGAATATGTGTATAAAAAGAACAGAACAGAACACATTCTTCACATAGGATATGCCCAAAAACAGGTCCCCAGCCTGATGGCCATGTGGCAGCTAAGAATCCTTGGCATCTATAGAATCTATGTAGAATTTTCCTCCCCTCTTCCATACTGCTGACTGGAACTCACTATCAGCCTTACACTCTCTTCTCTTCCCTTCACCTTACATGTCCCAAAAGTGCCTGGAACAACAGTGTTAAGCATGAAAAATAGAAGGAGAAAAGTCACTTTTATCCTGACACCCAAAACAGACAAAAAAATCACAAGAAAATTACAGACCATTATTTTTTATGAATATAAACAAAAATTCTCAAAAAGTCCAGCAACATATAAAAAGGATTGTACAGCATAACCAAGTGGAATTTACCCCAAGAATGCAAGGTTGGTTTAGTATCCAAATTAATATATAATATTAATAGAATAAATGATAAAAAAATCAAATGATCATCTTAATGGACACAGAAAAAGCATTTCAAAAAATCCAATATCATTTCATACTAAAGAACACTCAACAAAGAAGGAAGAGAAAGAGAACTTCCTCAACCTGAAAAAGTGTATCTGTGAAAAACCTACAGCTAACTTTATACTTAATGGTGAAAGACTGGGTGTTTTTACTTTTTCTAAGCTCTGGAACAAGACAAGGATGTCCACCTATGCTACTTCTGTTTAACACTGTATTACAGGATCTAGCCAGGACAATTAGGCAAAAAAGAGAGGGAGAAAAACACATCTAGATTAGAAAGAAAGAAATAAAAATTTCTATTACCAGATGACATAATTATGCATAGAGAAAATTCTTTATAAATCTACCAAAAAGCTATTAAAACAATAAAATTGTTCAATCATTCAGCAAGGTTGCAGAGCATAAGACAAATATGCAAAAGTCAATTGTGCTTTCATATACTGGCAATGAATAATTCAAAAATCAAATTAAGCAAACAATTCCATTTACAATAGCATCTAAAATAAAACACTTAAAAATCAATTTAACAAAATAAATGCAAAATGTATACTATTAAAACTATGCAACACTGTTAAAAAAAATTATAAAGACCTTAGTAAATGGAAAGTCATCCTCTGCTAATGTATCAAAATAATTGATATCGTTAAGATGATATTACTTCCCAAATTGATCTATAGACTCAACACCATTCCTACCAAAACCCCAGCTGGCTTTTTTTTTTTTAACATAAATTGATAAGCAGTCCCTAAAATGTATGTGGAAACTTAAGCACTGAGACAGCCAAAACAATTAAAAAAAATAAGAACATAGCTGAATAACTCACTATTTCCAATTTAAAAACTCATTTCAAAGCTACAGTATCCAAGACAAGGTAATATTGGCATAAAAGTGAACATACAACTCAATGAAATAACGTTAAGACTCTAGAAATAAACCTTCATATTTACGGTCAATTGATTTCAACAAGGGTGTCAAGACAATTTGACTACTTTTCACAAACGTAACTGGGACAACTGAATATCCACATGCATAAAAATAAAGTCGGACTCCTTCCTCACACCATATACAAATATCTTTACTTAAATTGTAGACAAATTAAGAAAGAGCTAAAATTATAAAACTCCTAGAAGAAAACACAGGAATAAATCTTAATAAATCTGCATTTTTTGCACGAGTGACAAAAGAAAAACTACAATTGTACTTCATCAAAATATTAAAACTTCTGTGCTACAAAATAAGCCATCAGGAAAGTGAAAAGAAAACCTACAGGAAGAGAGAAAATATTCATAAGGGACTTGTATCTAAAATAAAGAACACTTACAACTCAATAATAAAAAGACAAATCACCCAATTTAAAAGTGGACAATGAATTTGAATAGACATTTCTCCAAAGAAGATCTGTAAACGTCCAATAAGCACATGAAAAGATGCCCAACATCATTAGTCATTAGGAAAATGCAAATCAAAACCACAAGATACCACTTCAAATCCATAAAGATGACTCTACTCAAAAAGACAGATAAGTATCAGCAAGGGTGTGAAGAAAATGAAACCCTCATATTGCTGGCAAGAATGTAAAATAATGCAGCTGCTCTGGAAACCAGTTTGACAGTTCCTTAAAATGCTAAACATAGTTATCATATCACCCTGTAACTCCACTACTAGGTGTCTACCCAGGAGAAATAAGGACATATACGCATACAGTGATATGTATTTTAGTCTTCACAGCAGCATTATTCATCATAACCAAAAATTGGAAGCAACCTAGATGCCCATCAACTGATAAATGGATAATAAAATGTGATATATCCATACAATGAACTATTATTTGGCAATAGAAAGAAAGTAATTATTGGCACATGCTACAACACAGATGAACATTTAAAACATTATGTGGAGTGAAAGAAGCCAATCACAAAAGGACAAATACTGTTATGATTCCATCAATATGAAGTGTCCCAAATCAGCAAATCTATAGAAACAGAAAGCAGATGAGCAGTTTTCAGTGGCTGACAGTCTGGAAGGTAAGAAGGGAACCACAATTAATGGATAGGGGAGTTTCTTTTAGGGAAGATACAAATATTCTAAAATTAGATAGTGGTGATAGTCACGCGACCTTATGAATATGTTTTTAAAAAATGGAACTATACTTTTTAAATGGATCAATTTTATACTATGTGAATTATATCTCAACAAACCTGTTTTTTAAAAAGAGAAGGAAGGAAAGCAAAAAGACACCCTGAGGTCACATTTCTCCTTACGCACCATTGAGCTCACCAGCTCACCACCCCCAGTGTCCTCACATCTCCCCATCTCCACTCTCCAAAGACCTAATTCTCCCAATTAAGACCCCAGCCTGGGAGTTTTCTACAGGGAAATCCTCACAATAATCTCACTCAGTCTGGACTTTTTCTCTGAAATATATATATGCGTATATGTAAATGTTTGTGTGTGTGCATAATACATAGTACAAACACACATCTATGTATATACATACATATATATATAATATTGTATATATCACCCCAGTCCTCTGAAATTTGTATTTCCAAAACCCACCCTGATCCTCTATTCCAAGGATCAGCAAATGAAGATCCACAAACCCAACCTAATTCTCAACCTGCTTTTTGCTTTTACATTTTCAAAGGGCTTCTTTTTAAAATTAAAAAAGAGTATGGGGCAAAAACCAGTGTGGATTGCAAAGTCTAAAGCATGTTTGCTCTCTGGGACTTTATAGACAAGTTTACTGACCCCCTAATCTATACCTTTTGTTTTCTCTACATTTACCAAAAAGAAGAGAGCAGAAGGATGAGAAAGAACAAGAGGCAAACATACCCTTTCTTTACATCATTGTTAGCAGCGAAAACAATGCAGTATGGGCGCCAGGTTGTACATATTCACGAGAGCCAGTTGTTAAATTTTTAAGAGTTTTGCAGCCCAGTTGATGTCATGTTGTAATTGGCCACAGCAGAAATATTTACAAGACAGAAATTGGCAAACAGTACAAATCAGGGCTTTTTTCCCCCTGCAGAGAGCCGGCAAATCTCTAAATAAAAACCTTCAGAAAATCTTGTCATCTTTCTGCTTTTCGGAAATCAGAAAGCAGGGAAGAAACTTACAGTCAGATTTTTGGTCCATAGGGAATTTGCAGGTGGGATGCCATGGCATAAAGCTAGAGGTGGATCAGGAAGTACGTAGGACAATGTCCTGATCTTGCAAAGAAAAGAAACCAAAGACTCTCACAGTGACTGTCTGATCCTCCCACCACCACTCCCACACTGTACCTTCTTTGCTGGGACATCTGTTCTATGCATATGGGTGACCGCCAGGAAGGTCTCCACTCCCGATCCCTGGAGACTGCTGGGAAGGAGAAGTGCCCAGCCCACTTGCCAGGACTATAGCAGGTGAGAACAAGTTCTTGGCATTAGCCAGGGCATGGAGGGAAGATTTTTTAATCACCACTAGAGGGAGGGCTGGTCACACTTTGCATCAAGGAGCCCAAGGGACCAGAATGCAGAGGGAGAAGAAAGACAACCAGAGAAGGAATGATCGCTGCTTTGCCTCTTCTGCAAAGGTGTATTAGACGCCAGTGTCTAACGGGTGACATTGAGAAAACTGAGATGAGAATTCACAGTGAGTTTCCAACAAGCAAACCATCCACATCTTGTGCAGAATGGGTCTCTACAGAGGCCTCAGGGTAGGAGACAAGGAGAGGACCTCAGAAACCACGAGTGACATTGATGGATACAGAAACACTGAGATGCATCTTACAGGAGTTTTAAGTTTCAATATGTACGTAGGTAACATTGGTTATATATCTTATTTATTTACATTTTATTAACTTAATAGTATTTATAATTTTAAAAAGGTGGCAAATAAGTGGATTTGATCTTGTCTATTCAATAGAATGATTATATAGAGTATATTTTATATATGTAGTATACACATACAAAATACATTTGTGTGTGTGTGTGTGTGTGTGTGTGTGTGTGTGTTCTCTTGCTCTGTTAAATAAACTACCAAGGAGTCAAGGGAGAGATTACTTACAAAAATGCCAACCTGAATCTTCATGGTGTAATATGATGGCAATTAAGATTTTACTAATTACAAATTAAGACTCATTTTCCCATATGAAAAGGCAAACTATAGTATTATTTCTGAATGCTCAGCCATGAATTAAACAGGTTTTCCCCAAGGCAGTTGGAAACCTACATTCCACATATAACATTGTTTCTATCAGAAAGTATTTCCCAACAACCTACTTATAAAGAACGTTCAGAGCACAATGTGTTTATGAACTAGGCAAAAGAAAAAATATGTAACCCAGTTGTTTAGAAACTCACTCCCATTTTTGTTTCATTGTTTCATTGTATGATTATATCTGGAGTCCATATTTCTCCACCCACTCCAAGCTCTCTGTTCTCCTCTCTTCTTGTCTCTTCTCTCCCTCTCCCCTAAAGAGTTGTTCTGTCTGCATCTCTTTTACAGATACAAGAAAATGAATTTCTCAGATACGCTGCACTTCAAAGTTGTTGGCCCCATTTCTGCTGCTGTGGTAACTTTTTCTGGCTCCGGAAAAAAACAGTCTAAACTAATAGAAATTGGACAAGGTCACGGAGCATGCTAAGAAAAGACCTGGTAACCTACAAGTACTAAACCCAAGGCTCTCTATTTCTAGCGTGAAAAATGGGCACAACGTGATATCTTTCTCTGGTAAAGCAAAACCATTGTAAACACTTGGGACTGAAGGCACTATTTGTGGAGTCAACTTCTAAAATTTGACTGCTTTGAGCTAGCAGGAATTACGATCTGTAGAATTTAGTATGCTAATTTATACAGAAATGTAATAAGGTACTAAACTTTAACACATACACACAGTATCTGCTCAGTGTCCTGGTAAAGCCGTAAAAATATCCTATCAACCCAGCCAATAGGGTGTTTAAACAGCTACAGGCTATTATTTAGCAATTAAGGAGTGTTTATTTAGGCTATTTATATAGGCTCTTCCTAACCATAGGGAGGGCTTTACAGGGGTCATTTTATTTGTTTTTTATTTTTTCACGTAATGCTTCATTGGTTAGTTGATATGACCTCACACCTCCTCCAGCTAAACTTTGTTGGTTCAGGAGGCCATCAGTGAGAACTGTCATGTTAAGACCAGGAAGAGGCAAACCCAACAGTGAGAGGCAGCAAAGTAGTGAAAAACCAACACAGGTGGCTAACCCATCTGAAGAGGACTTGCGTGGATATCATAATAGAATGTGGCTCTCTCACCCTGAGGATGAAATGTGCAACTGCAACCTTCCAGCATTCCCAAGACAGAAAGTATTTCACAGAGAGGATTACTCCATATCTTGGAAAGATAACTGCATTTATTTCCTACTTATCTCCAGCAGCAGATGTAAACAGCCATTGGGACTTCTTCAAAGTCATTTCCAAAAATAGTATTAAGGATTCTAGAAGAGTTCTGCCTCTGACCACAATTCTGGCCAAAAGAGGAACTGAAATGCCAGGAGAGGTGAGACGACACCATAATGATATTGTCTTATATTAAATAAGCGTGTACCCAATGCCAGGCACTATGCTAAACACTCAGCGTGTGTGGAGTCATGTAATTATAACAAGACCCTATGATATAGGTACTATTTTATTCCCATTTATTTACTCAACAAATATTTACAGACTACCTTTTATGTGGCAAGCATTGTCCTCACCACTAGGGATTCAGAAATGAGTGAAAAAGGAAAAAAAAAATCTTCCTTTATGAAGCTTACCTTCTGGTAAGGGAGAGAAACAAAAGACAACAAAGACGTGAGTCAAATATATGGAATTTCTTATAACCACAAGAGCTAAAAAGAAATTAATGCTCTGGCTCAACCTTAGGACTTCCCTTTTGAGAAAAAGAAAAAAAGAGAGAAATTAATGCAAAAAAGGATAGAAAGTTAGAGGGGTGTACTTTAAAACAGGGTAGCCAAGAAAGACCTTATTGAAAAGATGAACCTGAGAAAACATTTGAAGGAAGTGGAGGAGCCAAGCAGGTATCTGGAGAAGTTCAAAGTTACTTAGATGACAGCAAGTGCGGTGTGTGATGGAAACAGGAAGATGGCAGTGTGGGGGAAGCATGCAATTAAAGAGGAAATTTGGAGAGAAATCAGAAGGTCCGAGCAGGTAGGTAGTGTAGAATTTTATAGTTAATTATAAGAGCTTTTTTTTTTACTATGAGAGAAATGAGAAGATATTATAAAACTTAAGCAGAGAAGTCACATTGTCTGACTTACGTGTTAGTATTACTGCTCTGTGTACAGAATCTAGACTTTGGGGGTGGTACAAGGATGGAAGCAGAGAGAGGTGAGGAAGTCACTGGAATAATTCAGGGAAATGATGGCAGCTTGGTCTTGGCTGCTAGCAAGGGACATGGTGGTAACTGGTCAGATTTGGATTATATAATGAAGGCCTAGCTGCAGGATTTATTAATAAGTTGAATGCTTTCTGTGAGAGGATGACTCTGAGATTTTTGGCCCAAGCAATCACAAAAAATGGGGCTGCCACTTACTGAGAGAAGGAATAAGTAAGAGAAGTGGGAATCAGGCATATTAGGGTCACATCTACCCAGAAAGTAATGTTAGCAAAGGAAACAGTACTTCAGAGTTAGAATCTTTAGAGAATGTGACTCTCACGATTAAGATTCCAGTTCTATCTAAGTGATGTATACTTCACTCAAGCATTCTTTTATTCATTCTTCATTTATTTTCATTCATTTCTTTATTCAACAAATTTTTATCAAGTGTCCACTGTGTGCCAAACAGTGTGCTAGGTCTTAGATGTGTAGTGATCAAGAAATGCATGGTTCCTTCCCTTCTAAAATGTATGATCCGGGAGAAAAGCAATTAACAAATGCTTATGCAAATACATCTATATGTGTATATAGGTATTAAGCTATAAAACAGAATAAAAAATTATTAATAAAGAAAGGGACAGCTGGGCACGGTGGCTCATGACTGTAATCCCAGCATTTTGGAGGTCCAAGGTAGGAGGATCACTTGAGCCCAAGAGTTCAAGGTTGCAGTGAGCCATGATTGCACCACTGCACTCCAGCCTGGGTGACAAAGGGAGACCCAGTCTCTAAAATAAAAGGAAAAAAAAAGAAAAGGGAAGTATTGGACAACTTCAATAACTTGCTCATAGGCCCATAGCTGGGGAAATACAGGGTTGGAACTTAACGCAGGTGCCTCCTTCCAGAGCCCACATGCTCACTTTATGGAGCGATCAGATGCCAGCACCATCTGATGGAGAAGAGAGCACAAGCGGTCAAAGGGAACACCAATGCCACCCAGGAAGTCCTGACCATGGCTGTGACATGACCACTACAGAACCTTTTTTGGGCCCAAGTTCCCTCATCTCTAGGATGGACCAGGTGGTCTCTGCAGCCCCTTCTGGCTCTGAAACCATAATTCTTTGATGTACATTGGTGTCCACATGTAGGAAAGAAGATGTGGAGAACACCCAGTCCAAGCTTCACTGACTTCACAGCTCTGCCTAGGACCAGACCCCTGTCTGAGGCTGAGAGCCACAGGACTCCAACCAATTCCTTTGCTGCTCTGCCCTCGGAAGGACCTGATCAGGCAGCAGGAGCAGTGAAAGTAGGGGGTGGGAATGGGAGACCTCACTCAGAGATGGGGGCAAGGGGAGGGTATGAGCTGGAGAGAATGAGAGAGAAGGCAAATTCAAGGATAGCAGATTCGGCCAGGTGCAGTGGCTCATGCCTGTAATCTCAGCACTTTTGGAGTCTGTGGCAGGAGCCGTGTCTACAAAAAGTAGCCAGGCATGGTGGTGCACACCTGCAGCCCTAGCTACTTGGGAGGCTAAGGTCAAAGGACCGCTTGAGCCCAGGAGGTGGAGCCTGTAGTAAGTAGAGATCACACCACTGCACTCCAGCCTGGACAATAGAGCAAGACCCTGTCCCAAAAAGAAAAGAAAAAAAAGGATAGCAGATCCATTAGACAGCCCCTGGGTTAAGGTATCCTGAGTATGGGATTTTCTCTCAAGCCTACAAATGGGCAACATAAGGAACTCACACGTTTGAATGTGACCCTGGGAAATGTAGACCCTTCACTACTTTGGCTCTAGTTTTCTCATCTGCAAAACGAGGCTAGATATTTTCTAAACTCGGTAATCTATGACCCCACACTCCTATACCTCAGCATTTCTTTCCCTTAACTAAATTTCCAAAATAAACTTCTGCCTCCTGGAGTGAACTTCTTGCCAAATTTGCAAGACTCCTTCAAATAGTCATTTGATCTAGCTATGCACTTCCAGAAATAATCCAAATCAAATATCTACAATGAAGAAATATCTCAATGTTTGGTTAAAGAATTCCAAAGTTTAGCTACCATTTTTAGTATTTCTTTACATTTAATTGTACAAAATAAATTTTAAGCCACCATAAATTATCCACAAACAGAATACTCTTCCTAGAGCTCTGTCTTAAAAATATCTGCAAGATACTCAATAATGGAAAATATACTATTTTCTCCTATTCACTAATTATACATTTCTTGCCAATATTGATATACTAAATTAATGAAATTAACTACGGAATACAAAGCCCAAAACGAAGCAATGCTCTACATCAACATGTTTTGATTTTCAATGCCTAATTAAAAAGTACAATAATCCCATTTCATAAGTAGAGAAAATAAGGTACCCAAAAATTCTACAAACGGCCCCAAATCACATAGCCCTGAGACATTTCCAAAAACTAAAACCAGTATTATTGCCTATAAACTCTTCACTCAAACTACTGAGTTATAATTATCATTGATAAACACTGAAAAAGCAGTGTGAAGTAAGTAGTTTTGTTGTATACACATTTTTAAAATTTGTTTTTGTTGTTTTGTTTGAGACAGGGTCTGATTTTGTCACACAGTCTGGAGTGCAGTGGCACAGTCTCAGCCCACTGCAGCCTCATCCTCCTGGGCTAAAGCAATCCTCCCACTTCAGCCTGCCAAGTAGCTGGGACCACAGGTGTGCACCATCTCACCGCTAATTTTTTTTTTTTTTTTTTTTTTTTTTTTTTGTATTTTTAGTAGAGATGAGTTTCCCCATGTTGCCTAAGCTGGCCTTAAACTCCAGAGCTCAAGCGATCCACTCACCTCGGCATCCCATAGGGCTAGGATTACAGGAGGGAGCTACTGTACCCGGCCTTGTCGTACACTTAACAAAAGGGGGGGGGCTTAGTTTTCTGAAATAATAAAACTAAATTTGGCAGGGGGTGGGGGAGTGGAATCCTTATTACCCACCTTGGAATTTATTACTTTCTTCCTTAGTGCAATAGTGACTTGGGCTCAATTGATAAAACCAAGGAAAGTCTTGCATACATGTGTTTAATCTTTACTAGTAAAATCAATATATACATATTTTAATCAAGTTTAAATTAAATATGTTTAAAGCACAAGGTACAAATTCATACATTTGTAGCAAAATACTATTCGATACGTGAAGAAATTCTTATGGTGATCCTAAAGTGTTTCTTACCCATCAGCCTCACTTAAGAGATATTCCAGTCATCGTATTATCAACAGCACGTGAGCAGGGCATTATGATCTCTGCACCGCATGTTAACAGAGACTCTGCTCTAAAAATGGCATTTGCAATCTAAGTGTTCAGAGATGCATGTATTTCACAGAGAATTGAGATGGGTGTTGTTAATTTCCATTGCATGAACATGGGAAACAAC